TCTAGGATTTCAGCACAGCTTCTGACAAGGGTATGATGACAAGGGACAAGAGCAAGCAGTAGAAGAAAAGCAGGGGCCTCTCCTATGGGATAAGGCCACCTTCCAACCTCCATCCCCACTCCTGATGCAGTGCTCCAAGCCCCTCTGGGAAAGGGGGTGGGAGGGCAGAGTGACTGGCCAGGGTTGTGTGACTAAGTCCCCTTTCTTCATCATGGATGAAAGTGGCCCAGCAAAAGCCTTAGCACACAGGAGGGAGCCCAGCCTGCTCCTCCATTCATTGCAGAAGTTAGAGGAGTTTAATCACTTAGATTCAGGACTTCATTTCTGTTACCAGAAACCGGCCTGTTTTATCCTCTAGAAGCAAACATGAGTTTGCACACAACCTCCTTAAGTGCTTCCTAGAGTCCTGATGTTTCAGTGTAGCACAGAGCCTCCTCCTGCTCCCCTCCTTCCATGGCTGCCTTGCCCTCCCTTCTCTTCCCTGCACTCCACCCAGATCCTTAACAGGAAACTCTCACTTGGAGATACCACAGGGGACACAAATGTCATGGGGGCTACTCAGGCCAACACCAAGGGGGTGGGGACTTTCAGCTGGCACAATTTAAGGGGGATCCCATTTCAGTCCCTAGGGCCAGCTGGACCCAGAAAGGGACAGCCTTTACCCTTCTGGTGGCCAACATGCCACAACACCAGCAACTCAGCCTGCCACAGGCTCAGACCAGACTGACATCCCAATCTAGGGACCCAGAATGAAACCTGTAGGTACAGAATAGCTCACGAACACAAATGGCAGAACACACCAGCAGAGATACCACCTGGAAGAAGCTGGGTGAAGGTGTCTCTGGTGAATCCCAGGAGCATAGCGAGAGCAAATGTCACTGCTGTTGCTCCTGATTTCAGATGGCATTTCCTAAAGAGTGGCAAAAGTGGCTCATGGACTGTCTGCATGAGATGTGCTGAAGAACATGTTAAAAATGCAGATTCTAGGGCCCCACCCCAGGTTTCCTGAAGCAGAATTTCTGCTAGTATCCAGGAAGCTACTTTTTTTTTTTGTCAGTCATGGGGCTTCAACTGTGAGCTTGGGCACTGTCCTGCTCTTCAGCTCAAGGCAAGCACTCTACCACTTTTCTGGTGGTTTATTGGAGATAAGAGTCTCATGAACTTTCCTGCCCGGGCTGGCTTTGAACCAAGATCCTCAGATCTCAGCCTCCTGAGTAGCTAGGATTACAGGAGTAAGCCACCAGCACCTGTCCAGGAATCTACATTTTTAACCAGTACTTTAAACCTAATACACACTAAAAGTGAAAGTCAGAGCTTAAAGAAGTCCCAATAGTGGTTCCTCTAAGATCAGTAACAACAAGGAAGAAGGAATCATAAAGCAACACTGCCTTGTATCTCAAGCACAGTTCTTTATCCTCATCTGTCCTCTCTCCTCTAACAGCCTGGTTCCCTGGATCAGAAAGAGAGAACCCAAGCCAGAACCAGGGTACAAGGCTCCAGCAACTTGACTCTAAGTTTCCCGGGAGCCAAAGCCAAAAAGAGACCATGACTGGGTTATGCAGTCAGTCCTCTCAATCCATTCATCTAACATGTATATGCTCAGGGTATATAACATGTATATGCTCATGCACTTTGCTAGGGCCTACCTACAAAAAAGTAAGGAAATAGATATGGTCCCTCACATCACCTCCCAGGTCTTTACAAAGAAGAAGGCTTTTCTTACATGTAACATCAATAAGCCATTTCTTCACATGGGATATACAGATTAAACAAATAAATATAGCAGGTGCTGTAACAGATTTCATAACACTGTTTCTGGTAGCATCTCTCAGTAAGGCCAAGGGCATCACTCCAGTATCCATCCTAGTAAAAGCAACTGCAATATAGAAAAATAGTCCAAAGAAGAGGTTTCTTATGATGCTAATTGTTCCAAGGATAAATCCTAAGCTATGTAGAAGACAGAAAGGACTATTTGCCCTTCAACTCTAGCGACGTGGGGAAAATGTTTCGAATATAAGCAAAGAGAACAGGATATAAAATGTTATGCTCCACGAGGTGAAAATCTGTATGCATATGAATAAAGATAAGAAGGGAATATGAAGATTTAAAAATAAAAAAAGACATAAGGGCTCAGGCTCCTTGGGGGGAGATGCTCTTAAATCTCAAAATAACGACTTATCATTGCCATCACCTGGCCCACTAGTGCCTGCATCCAAGCCTATTTTAAATGCCTCCTTCAGCCTAGCAGAGCTAAGCTCAGAAATATAGGCTGCTGTAAGAGCCTCGACTCTACACCTATTGCTATACTGAAGCAAATGAAATGATGTGATGTGACTTTCAGCAACAACATAGACAAGCCCACAGACAGAGTGCTCGGTGCACATCGGACGCCTGCATGAATTCTCTACCTGGCAATACAAGCCACCAGTATAAGACTCAGGGGGCCACAATGACAAGATATGACAACCCACAAGGTTTCCTGCCCAGATCTGGACCCCCGCCCCACCAGAAAACGAAACAATCTCTCCCCAGGCCTCCTGGCCACCTCACCATGGATGTCAAGGAGAAGCAGCTCTATACCCTTTCTTTTCCTTTCAGATGGTAGTATAGAAAGCAAGCCAGCAGGGAATCCCAGTAAATACAGCCAGCCCCTTCGGACCACCAAAGTTGACCCTAGTGGGCTCACCTCTTTTCCAGACACAGAAATCTAACACCTACAGAGCTCTAGACAGACAGACAGCGATGAGTGAAACCCAGTCTCAGCCACTGCACCTTTATAAAATATACAGAGTAAACTGAGAGGCTGCAAGGAAGCCACAGTTCACTCCCTAGCCCCATGGGCACCAGTCTAGTTGGGACCTTGACCCAACCCTCTCCAGTTCACATCCCCCATGCCTGTGACTAAAGCTGAGCCATACCCATTGCTCCCTCCATCTCCACGACAACCCTCCCACTCTCCCACCTCCCAACAATATGGCCCCTACACATTCCTGACCCCTCTTCTTGGCACCTGAGCCCATCCAGAGGACCAAGCCTCTGTCCCAAAATGAACCTGGTATATAAGCCATACAACAGAGCCCCAGTCTTGGCATATTCTTCTCTCAAGAGGGGGAGTTGCTGTCTGAAGCATATGATTTTATAGAAGAATCCTGTTCTCAAATTGGAAAAAAAAATGTATCAGAGAAATTAAACCTTACTCAGTTTGGAGCAGGGAAATATACCAAAATACCAGTTTGGAAAGACAGGACAAGGTAGAAAGGAGATAAGGAAGGAAAAGGACACTATCACACAGGCTAGGGAAGTTCAGGTGGGTAGGAAAGGAAAAGAAGACAAAAGCTCAAGCAGGTAGTTCCGCAAAGTGCCAGCCAACTTCACATCTCCCTGTTTTTGGCTCCCAGTTCTCTTTCCCTCCCTCACCCCCTAGGTCAGAGGACACTGGCGAGATAAGGAGTAAAGCACTGCATCACCTATTGGAGATGGCAGACACTGTACACATTTCTAGGGTACCAGGGCTATGTCGTGTGGGCTCAGGACAGTACTCATTCTTACCCCATTGTCACTGCCTGTACCTTCCATTCTTAGCCAGAGAATATCTACCAGAGAATCAGCCACTGCTGTCCCTGTACCCGACCCCAAAGAGGAGGACATATGACCAGCCACATTATCTCTATAGCAACCATCACCTTGGACTTAAGGTACACAAAGAGAATGAAAATAAACAAGTCAACTTTATAGGCAACGCACATGAAAAGTGAGACAGAGGCCAGTGTTGGATACAACAGAACAAGTGCTGCTGACAGGGATGAGGAGAGACTCCCAAGCCAGAGGGCAGACACAACCCTGGGAAACAGGTTCCAGAACAATTGCCAACACAGCAAGAAGCCCACTGTCACCTCTGGAATTTTATAGCTTCTCTGAATGCTTAGGACATCTACTACATCTCTTGCCCCAGATGTCTGGCCAAAGCCCACACCTTCCCCAGGGCATCTGCCCTGGCTCCTGATGTATTTAGTGTCCTGTTGCCTAGCCTTAATTCTTTTCTCTAAGTCTCATAACCTTTGTCCCTGGGTTGTACCCTGCAGCTCTCCAGGACCTAACCTCTGTACTAACCAGTCCTCTTCACTGAGCACTTCACACATTGCTAGGTCTATACCTATCAGATGAGGTAAGCTTGGCAAGTACCCAATTTGAGGTTCAGAGAGTGTATGTTCAAGGTGTTAAAGACAGGTTCTGGCCTTCCAAGCCCCAGGTACTAGAGATCTCACAAATGAGGCTGTAAGGTCTGGGCCTTCACATTCCTCACACCCTAAGGCAATGCAGCCCCTGTCCAGACCAGGCCCCTGAGATTTCCAGGCCATAAGCACCATCACCCTCTACCCAGGATAGACTACATCTGCTGCTGCACCACCAACTTTGTAATTTGATCAAAAAAAGCAATCAAGTTCATCTGGCAGGATTTGTTCCCTAGAAGCCCTCGCCAGTAGCAGCCTCCCCTGATGTTTACAGATTTTCTTCCCTTGGGAGTCTGTTCTGCCGCCTGGTGGGCAGGGGAGGCTGGATTTGTCAGAGCTGCTCACTTACTGCATTTCCATCCTAAGTCACCACTGGGGCACAGAGAGTAGGAATAGCCTGCAGTGGCCACCACTGCCCCCAAAGGAGAGGCTCCAAGCACCCCAAATTAAGAACTCTCCATGTCACTCCACCCACCATACCTAAGACCCTCTACCTCTCTAAGGACTGAACTCCTTTGAGCCTTTGAGGACCAGCTACCCACATCTCTTACATCTTCATTCTTTTCTCTCTGGGCCCTTCCATTTCCCCAAGCAACCTCCTTGTCTGTCTGGCTTCAAGGTTCACCCACCCTGAAATTCCACGTCATCTCCAAGTGCTGAAACATGTGGCCTCCACCCCCCACAACCCTCTAACTCCTGAGGCATCTACAAGAAGCTATAGCCTCTAAAGAGATTCCCCAGGGAGAGGCCAAGATGGGGAACACTCACCTCGGGCCGACAACTTCTTGGTATTGATGATTTTTGCTGCATACTCCTGCGTAGAGGTTTTCTTCACACACCTGCGGACCACAGAGAAAGCACCCCTGGAGGGAGAAGGGGAAAAGAACTGGGACACGGAGCAGGGCAGAGTGACACAGACATAGTTCAGGTCTGAGGACAGTGATGCTCCCACCACTAGACTTAGTCACACTCACACAGCAGCAGTGACCAGTGTAAGGAGGCAGGATGAGGCCACTGCATGACACTGAACAGATGTGGGTGAAGTAGCACCTGGCTCCCACCCACTCCTCTAGTCCCCAGGCAAAGCAACAGCCCCAACCTCAGGCTGTCCATCAGGAGTGGTGGGCAATGCTTCAAACACACACCTGCTGCATCTCAACTGATTAGCAGGCCCTGCAGTCCTGGCCAAGAGAACCAGGAGAGGAAACAGGGAGCCCCTGCCCTTGTGTCAATAGGAATAGTTGAGAGTGGAGCCAGGAGAGATGAAAAGGTAGGTATGCTTCCCCAAGAAAGCAATTTCTCTCAACCACAGAGGAAAGTGAGACTCAAATCACCGTTCCCCAACCAGCTTGATCCCTCTGCCTCCCAGCTCCACTGACAGCAGGGAAGGAGAAGGCACAGTTTTTGAGTCCACAGTCCCCTTCCCCATGATATTTTATGTGCCCCACGACT